GACCTTATGTAACTCAATTTGCCTCCTACTTTGTGTCTCCCACGCATGAGACATTACTGTCTCCCCCTCCCAGTGGATGCTGGAGTAATTTATTGTTTTCTCAAGCTGTATTTTTGAGTAGTCCATTCCTGATGCAGTCTTGCAAGAATGAGGAGTATCAACCAATCCCAAAACACAGGGGTTGCAGGAAGATTTTCCACCATCAGATTGCTTCTCAAATCTCCTTAATTTCTTTCATCACTAATCCCAGCCTCATACTTTTTGGAAGTCTTAAAATCTCTGCAGGTGTTTTCTCTGCAGACAGTTTCCTACATGCATTTGATTTATTATTCCTGCTCTCATTGCGAAAAGGAACTTTAGATTGTGGCATTCAGGGACAAAAGCACAAACTTCTACAGTACAATGCCACCAAAACCCAGACTCTTTCTGGAAGTTTAAGCAAACTACAATTGCAGGAACTACAACAAGGCAAGCAGAAAAGTGTTGTGACAATTAACCCTTGTAAAATAGCTCTGTTTGGACAGGCCTGTTTAGTTATGTTGGCAGGAAAGTCAGAGACGTGCTAAGCCAGCCTCACTGCAAAGTACAGCAGCTGTCTGCTCACAGCAGGCAGGGCATGTGTACATTTTGAAGTCTGAACCGTATCTCTCCAGTTCCGAAACGCAACCTCTCAGACCCCCTGCAAAAAATCGTCCGGTATCACTTTAAGGATTGAAAGATAAAGCTAACGTTAACCAGATGGGAGCTTCAACACAGACAGATGAAAGCAGAAAAGCGCAGACACTAGAGAGAGAAGGGAGTTACTATACCTCAGCAAAAGGCACCCAACTTCCAGTAGCTACTGCCTGCTGCTGCCCTCTGATAACAGTGGCTTCTTGCGCGCTGACCGCTGAGCTACCTTCAATGTCAATCTGAAAAACGCCTCCCTCACTCGAGGCTGTGCTGGAGGAGAAGCATCTCAAAAAGAATAATATAGGAGAAACGAGGGGCCAAGCGGAGATCAAAGCCATTTCCTCCCCTTACATCCAGCAGTGGTCTTCTAGCTTCTCAGTAATTGTTTACCCGCGTCTGCAATCAGCCCCCCTTGGCTTAGTGGTGCCTCAGTTATTTTAACTTTCTTTCAGCATTCAGTTTCCAGATGTGGCACTTCAAGGCAGTCTAACCAGATCCTGATTTAAAAGAGAAAAAAAA